TTGGATAACTGTGTGGAATTCTTCATTTACTGTATCTGTTCCATTGAACAATCATTAAATTAATATATTTTAGATTGTGTGGGGAACAATTTGCAAACACAAAATAACAGCCTAACATGTTGATGAAATTTCACATCATCAGTCAATGAGTTTTCATCGTAGCTAGATTGAACCAGATCCTTGCTCAAACGAGGTCAGAGCAACTTAATGTCAATTTGTGCTTGTTGTTTTTGTAAATGTTAAGTCTTTCTGATCATATTAGTCACCAGAGTATTGATACAGTACAGAATCAGAATTAGTGCACCTATAAATCCACAGTAATCCTTTGTTTAAGGCTGCAGCGGTTAACCAGTGTTTTCATGGGTCCATGAGGAGCTGCCACTAATGGCCAGTTCACTTTAATGCTCTCATCTAATGTTGATTTGGAGTTGTGTTGTTATTATCTGGCAGGTTGTACAATATTCTATTGATCCTTGCTGGTACTGCATATACTCCAAGTTGGGGTGACAGAAATATTTTCTCCACTGTTTTCCCCTGATTACCTCATTTAAATCCACTCCACTGGAGAATTGTTCTTCTTTCATATTTTATCGGAAAAGGAATCTGAAAACAAAGCTTCACTGATAACTGACTGGCCTTGTTTCTTTCCTTTGCACACATTTTCTCTGGCCAGTCTGATGTGTCAGGGCAGCTGCTGACGCTGACAGTGAGGTATTGTTAGCCTGTTTAAGCTGTCAAAGGGGATCTATTAGAAAGGAAACTTGCAAATGAATGTCTTTTCCTGTCTGTCCTTTTGTATAGAGAGTTAGTCATCAGTTCCAATATAAATGAAAATCTTCGTGTCCTCTAAGGTTTTAGTCTTTGACAACACATCTTGTAAAATGGCATTGTCAGGAGTACAACAGAAGAGCAATTGGTGCGTATGTTTAAAGTGGAACAAAAATCTTAAAAGTGAATCCAGTGACTTGCTTTGTAGAAGCGTTTCTGATGAATGATCGCAGGCAGCGATTTGTCTTCCTGTAGGTGCAACTCTATTATCAGATAAATTTGCACCAGGTGACGTGCATGTATTGTTCTCCTGTAAATCTGACTCCAATGTGGCCACTACCAATTATAACAATATAAGCCAGTATCCTATATAGAAATAATACTGAATGTAAGTACTATCAATGGCTGTTGTGGGAAAGAAATACCAGACACAAGTATGGCCAGAAATGTTGGTTGATTCTAAAGCCTTCCTGTTTCACTCACTAATCGGTGGACGTGGCACAATTTCCCTCTTGTTGCCATTCACACCACAACAAACAGCTGGAGTCCTCTCAAACCCCCATTTATCCTTTGTGTATCACCCTGTTTGTTGACTGGGTGATAAGTCTCTGCTTTGTCTCAAAGGATTTATTACTGCCAAGTCAGCAGCCAGGGCATAATAATTTGTGCAGCCGGGAATGGTTCAGATATATAAAAAGAATCGCACTCCGTAGATCCCATCGCTCTCAGAGGATTTCAGTCCTGCTCAGTGGAGGTGGAAGGGCTTTAGCAGCTCCTCTTGACAAGGCTGTGTTCTCCTGACATTGATCTGTCGGCTGTCCATTCCTTTGATTAATCTCTTGGTTTGGAGCTCTTCACTCATTGCACTTTCATCCCGTCTCGCATTTCCCCCCGTTACAGCTCAGTCTCTGAGGTTTTGCATTAATTGAAAGGGATCCAACTGATATACTGAGGATTTTTGCGTCATCTGTTGCTCACTTTTTCATTGCACTCAGATATTTTGGAGTTGCTAGTTTTAAAGATTGTTGGAAAAGAATTATGAACCCCCATTAGCGGTTCTTTATGGTTGCACAAATCAAAGAATAAAGCTAATTTGAGTCAAGCTAATTGACGCTGCAAAAATGTATACTCTTGCTAAATCAAAAAACATTAAGTGCAGGGAAAATCATGACTAGAGAGCCAGTGAGTCAGTACCCAGGCAGCGGAACATAAGATTTTAACAAGCTCATTGCAGATACAGTATGAGAGTCATGCTCACCAGAGGATTTGTTAGGAATGCTGACTTTGTACCACCTAACCTCCAGGAAGTGCTGTGTGTGTATAAGTTAGGGAGTACTGTTTGGTTTAGGGGGCTGTCTTGGTAGATTTCCCTCTTCATACTGTGCATTCAACGCCTGTCTATTGTTCCTCTGTTTTTATCAGGCTTCACCTCACGTATACCTCTGCAACATCTCCCCCGCTTCTCATGCAATGTTTCTTCAACCCTTTTAGAATTTTCCCTCTAAAGTGTCACAAATGGGAAGCAAAGAAATGCTTGCATTTTCAGTGACAAGCATCTCTGAGGATAAAAGTGTCAGCAGCGTATAAACGCAGTGGAATTAGATGTCAGAAAGTATCACATTCAGCCGATGAGTGTGATCTCTCTTAGATGACCTCATCAACACCCCATCAACACAGCGATTTAATTGTGTTAGTATAGCAGTGTGTTTAACCCCCAGGCACTGCAGGGGGGTGATGAACTCAAAAGATGCCAAACACAAAATTGTGTGCTGTTAAAAAAAAATGTAATCCTCGTTTCTTGCTGCAAATGCATTGTGAAGGGTAATTTTCTCAATCTGAACTGTAGGGTGAATTATTTTGACATGTCTTAGCCAGTCTGGTAATGTCATGCACTTAATTATTTATTTTTTCCTAATTTTCCTGTCAGTCATCTTAAGGAAACATACTTATTTGCATGCTGGGGAAGAGTTAGATGAGAAAATTGACACAATAAATGTATCCAGCGACCTGTTCAGGGGTAATCATAGTTCCCGCGTCTACAAGTCCCCTATGGTCCTCTATGGTCCTATTGACGTGATGTCTTCATCCACCAATGTCCACTAGGGTATGCACGGACCTAGATGCAGATGTCCACTTGCAGCTGAGTATACTTGCCGACTGTGCATACTCCAGGTAAAATATATCCACCCACTGGCATGGAATGGGATGTGGGATCAGATACACATGCGCATAACACCAGCCTGACGCAGACCCTAATTTGAGTATGTTTTAGTATGAATGGGACTATGGGCATGTACGAAGTGAACGAGTGCGCAGCAGACACAGAAGATAGAGCGTGGTCCCCCCTTTATCTTACCTTAGCTTAGAATAAAGACTGGGCGTGAGCCGAGGCAGCTAGCCTGGCTTCCTCTGAAGAAAGTTACGACTCAAAGCCATTGAGCAGTAAAGGAAACAACTCCCTGTGGAAGGTTGAGTTATTCTTTTACCTGTGTCTTGTACAGATTAAACACTATAGAATGTGTTGTAATCTACGAGATTTGAATGTTTTATTGTATTAATTCTCAGGTAACCTAACCTATACTGCTGGTGTTGGTGGTACTGACCTTCTCATCTAACTCACATAAAATATCAAACCATTCTTTTAATCTTTTAACTTCAGCCACGACTTCATCTGCACTTCCGTCCATGCTCCCTTTAAAGCCATTATCTGAGCTCTCCTTTTTTTTTATTTATCTTGCAGAGGTTGTAGCCTTAGCACAAAAAATAAATGTGATTAGAGAAATATTGCCACAAATATAACCAGCATTGCTTATAATATATAATAACTAAAGATGTTTCTCTTCAGAGCCTTGGCTGTGATATTTTTATAATTAGGTGCCAGTAGCCGATCAGGCACATGAAAGAACCTCTAGTGATATAAGTTGTACAGCAGAAATAACGGACTGCCCGGCTCCTCTTTGTAAAAAAAATTACCTTCAACCGTCTGCAGTACTTGTAATTTTGACCTCCATGTTCCTCCAGGTCCAACTGTTTTGAAGTCTTCGCCTTGGATGGAGCCAGCACCAATATTCTTCAATTTTGCACTGCAGCAGAAAGCACCGACTGGCTCCAAGCAATATCCTCAAATATCAGTGACTTGACACAAGAAAATGTAAGTCCATCACTCAATGTTGAGGCTTTAGTTGGATCTAATTGAGAGTCCTGATTGAAAATGAAGGTGAAAAGTAAAGCAGAGATTAATGGGGTTTGGGATCATTTTAAATCAGTGAAAATCTGAACTACTCATATGACATTTGAGTGCTTTTCTTGGTATAGTATGTAAATATATATGTAATCTGGTTTGTCATGTCATCTGATTAAATATACATGGTTATTTTAAAGGTGCAGTGTGTAGAATTTTGTGATATCTAGTGTTGAAGTTGCATGTTGTAGCTGAACACCCCTCACCTCACCCTCTCCTTCCAAACATGAAAAAGAACCTGTGGTAACCTTCAGTTCTCATAAAAACTCAAAAGGTGTTTAGTTTGTCCAGTCTGGACTAATGTAAAAAACATGGCGGCCTCTGTAGAGAGGGTCCCCTCGGTGTAAATATAAAGTATTTAAATATAAAGGGCCTTTTCTGAGGTAAAGAAAACTACAATTCATACAATTTAGATGAAATGAACTAGTGAAAACATCATGAGGATTATTCTACTTTAGATTTCTGCCAATAGATCCCTTTCACCTAAATCTTACACACTGGCCCCTAACTAGTGAATAATGTGCAGATTATTAGTTTAAAGAATCAAAGTGTGTTATCAGCCAATTAGTAGACTTCTTGTTTATAAAGAAAACATTAAATAACATGCCATAAATATGTTTAGCCCACATGAGCTACGTGTTTTCTCTGGTCACACACAGACTACAGTGTTGCATGGTTTTAATAGACCCCTCTGACAATCACTCATTGAGTCACAGTCTGCTGACAAAAAACAGGCTCTCACACCTAATTAATGACTGCTAAGTAGTCATTCAGCACATGCACTCCTCTCTCATTTCCTCCTATTTCACACTGATGATGATGTCGTGCATTTTTGGTCAGGATGCAGACGCACTGTACGCCCGTGCTCGTCGACTGCGCAGCTGCCTTTTTTAAAAGGTATAATTAATTCATGCCTGCATCGCCTAATTACGGACATGGCGTGTGATTGCTAAATGGCCAATCAGGATGTAATTGTGTTCCTGCTTTGGGAGAGAGCAGAACTTTTGTTTTAATATCCTACAATCCTTAAATAGACTCTGACACCCTTGGGTGCCCTCATGTGTTTTTCATGGAGATGACAGTCAACTGGTTTGGCAGAGGATTATTTGATGTCTGACGTTCCTTTACAGAATAAAAATCCAGCTTGTTAGTGACTAATAATGAGGATTGTGTGTGTGCGTGCGCATGCCATACACCTTTTAGACCTTCATATATTTTTAATGGGACAAAAAAGAGTAAATCACTTGGAGGAGGCACGTTGTAGAAGAGGTCAAATTTGTTATTGACAGATTAAGTTAATTAAGTTGATTTTTTAAACTCAAGGTAACCTCCAGTAGTGCTGCATCTCAAAGCAACAACCTCAACACTGTTCATGTCTGCTTCCCTGATAGCTAATGAACCAAAATATAACTTTCTGTGATAAGTTTTCCGAAGTATAACCTTTGTCTCCCCTCAGTTACAAACAGATGGTAGATTGGGACCGGAAATCCTCATTATTAGTCACTAACAAGCTGGATTTTTATTCTGTAATGGAACGTCAGACAAACAAATAATCCTCTGCGAATCCTCTTGACTGTCATCTCCATGAAAAACACATGAGGGCAGCCAGGGGTGTCAGAGTCTATTTAAAGGTTCTAGTATATTAAAACAAAAATTCAGCTCTTTTCCAAAGCACAATTACATCCTGATTGGCCATTTAGCAATCACACGCCATGTCCGTAATTAGGTGATGCAGGTATGAATTAATTATACTTTTTAAAAAAGGCAGCTGCGCAGTCGACGAGCACGGGCGTATAGTGCGTCTGCATCCTGACCAAGAATGCACGACATCATCATCAGTGTGATAATCAAAGTGAAATAGGAGAAAATGAGAGAGAGGAGTGCATTTGCTGAATGACTACTTAGCAGTCATTAATTCGGTGTGAGAGCCTGTTTTTTGTCACCAGACTAATCTGGGCTAAACATGATATATGGGGAGTTACTTACTGCAAGAGTTTGCCATTCACAGCTCAATCTGTGCAGCACTTGTGCTATGTGAGGGGTCAATTTTGAACTTCAGTATCTAACCCAAGGACACTGTGGCATGTGGAATGGGGAAGACTGGGATCGAGCTGCTGATCTTCTGGTTAGATGACGACCCAATCTAACCCCTGAGCCACAGCTGCCCCAACAAGTCCATCTGTGCTAGAACAAAGAGAGAAAGCAGTTGATTTGCTGTTTTGTCTCCTACCACAACACAAAATGAAAATGTTGTGTCATATTCCTCTTTGGAAAAAAACAAAAAACAAAGCCAATTGAAATCTCTCTAAAGCTGCTTTCAGACATGCACTGAGGTATATGTGAGAATGCAAATGGCCGAGTGAGAGGCTTCCGACGTGAGGAAAAAGCATGGGGGGCTCCACAGGATTCACTGCGAGCAGGTGGGAGTGTGGATGACGTTTGGAACACTTACAGATGCAAAATTGAAAAGAAAACAATAAGAATACAAATATCTCAGGATAAGTGGTGTCATACATCTACTGGACACTGATTAACAGCTTTTGGAGATAAGGGCCAATGCTAGTGTTGGTTAGCTGTAGACTAAAACATATCCACAGTTACCTCCTGCCTCTGCCTGCTGTACCACCCCTGCCCCGAACGCTCTGGAGATTTCTGTGTTGTGAAAGTTAACCTCCGGAGAAAGTCCTGACCCAATTGTGCAAACGTTCTCTGAAATTCACTTCTGAAAACAGCTTAAAGGTCCAGTGTGTAGACTGAGGTGAAAGGGAACTATTGGCAGAAACTTATTGTAGAATAATCCTCATGATGTTTTCACTCGTTTGTTTCATCTAAATTGTATGAATTGTAGTTTTCTTTTCTCCAAAACTAAACACCTTTTGAGTTTTTACGACAACTCAAGGCTACCACGGGTTCACTTTCATGTTTAGAAGAGAGGTTGAGGTGAAGGGTGTTAAATAATGACATTCAATCAATGCAATGTTGACACAGATAAGTACCTCATATACCTGCTGGATCATACTCTATACACACACACTTTCAACAGGATTGTATCATAACAAGGACTGAAACACTGAAAACTGTGAAGCTCTTTGTCAAAGTGCAGCAACGATTTATGAACAACTTGTGTTACCGGTTCTCGTTTTTTCCTCATTTTCCTCCTAGATAAAGATCATCAATAAATACTGTGCTTCAGATGATCAGGTATGCTCACACAGATCTATCATGATGTACAGGTGAAACATGTCAATTGTCACAGCACTACAGACACCGTATATAAACCACACACCTGCTGACACATCAGTGTGGAAGGTTTTTTGAAAATATAGTTGGCAATGAGTGCATCAAACCAGTTTGTGTAGTTTCCTTATCTATCTCCTTATATACAGGAAATGTTTGCCCTCTGCATACAGCAGCAGCTTTTAAAAGCTCTGCACTCAATCTATGGGGCACTGTGCCAAATAGTTGCAATTATTCAAGTCACCAAGGCATTTAAAAAATATTTTGGAGCATATCTTAATCAATGAAGCATCCGCAGGCGTAATTGTGTCACCCTGTTTATTGCTTCAAGCAAAACTGGAGAGGAACAAGAGAGATGAGGTTTGCTGGAAGGAGTCCAGGACATATAGAGTGTAGATGAAGCAGTACATACAGTGAGGTTCAGACAGCATTGGTATGCTGCTTAAAAAAGAGCAGAGAAACATCCCGACTCAATCTGTGGTAGAGCAACGGTAAATTGTTGCAGTGCAGCTGAGACTGCAGCACCACTGTGCTAATGAGGATCATTTTAGATGTATAATTTCAAACCTGCTTCACTAATTAGATTTGACAGAGCACATTTTGCTTTGCTCTGTGTCGTATTGAGCGGGAACAGATTTTTGTTGTTTGTCGTTTTACCGTTGTGTTACAGAATGGTGGAAGTGTGTGCATGTACTCCTCTCCATCTTTACAGATCGTTCACATGGGCTGGGCGTGTGAAAGCCCAGAGGGCAGCACTGCTGGAAAAACTGCAGTGTTCAAGTTCCTGGCTCTGAGAGGACCATATTTTTATATCTTCACAAGTCCCCCGGTAATTAGTCTTTGTTTTGTTCAAGTTTCACTTCTCATGCAAAATTTGATTTCATTTTAAGCTCATTTGAAATTGTTTTGTCCAAAATATGAAGCATATCACACTGACCCACATGACTGACACTCCAGTGAGTACCCTGGATTCGGCTGTACGCAGGGGTGGACGCATTATGTTTTCATGTCCATGCATTTGTCATTCATCCCATTCTGATGAACACAATATCTAAAGAATTCCATGAGGGAAGTTTTTCAGACTTAGCACAAAATTGAGTCAGTTGGACTCATGGGGGAACCGATTAGATTTTTGTAGTTAAAGTTCAAGGTTGAGGTCCCTGTGACCCTTCAAAACACATTTGCAAATGTGCAAATCACTTGGACTCAAAGATGAATTGATTAGAATTTGGTGCTCAAAGGTCAGGATCGTCATTTGAGTTAAGAAAAAAGTTATGTAGACTGAAACTGCACTGGTTGGTGGAGGCATACAGCCTTTTTTGAAACTGTATACTTCAGCTGTAACTGAATAAGAGAAGAAAGGCATGCAACAACTGCTGCTGAGATTATATTTGTTGTGACTATGGCTGATTGTTGAGTGGCTGTAAAGATGTCAAAGATGTTATTTTCATTTTTTTTAAAATTGGATTATCTAGGCATCTACCCAGTACAGTGGCAATCAAGTGTCTTTTAAGACTTAGACTACTTGCCTGATCATTATTTTTAAACATCACTGCTCTAGAAAGGTTTGAGTATCAAGCTCACCTTCAAAAATTCATAGACTGAAAGTTAAAAACTGTCTTAATTCAATTCAATTTTAACTGAATGTAGCAAACTAAGTTCAAAATCTAAAACTGAAGTTCTGACTCAAGCTGCTGGTAAGAGTGAGAAAGTGAAATACAAACCAGAAAATCCAGTTTGAAGAACAGACTAATGCATCATATGACACAAGAGATGCCGAAATACTGCATGCTGATTTAAATCTCTTACACCTTCTTAATCCCTATGAGACAAATATTGATTTGAGACTATGGGCTTTACAGATACAATTTGATTGATTTATGGTTTATTGATTACAGACAGGATTGTACAGACAGAGCAGAATCTAAATTTGCACTCAGTAGTGCACATACCAGGGCCGAACAGTCCCCAGCCTTCCCAATTCAAATAAGCTGCGACAAATTTACTCCTAGATATTGTAGTTTTCATAACACTGTATCAGAGAAATTGAATAAGATTAGGTTTTCTAAGATATGTACCGTTGTAAATGAGTTTTGATACATCTGAAATGAGCTTCTAAAAGATGATGTTATATAAAGTTCATAATATTAACTGTCAAAAAAAAATCTGTCCTTAATTTGTGTTGTTTGCAGTTTTGCATAAAGTGACATGCAGGTTTTCCTCCTGTTCTACTGTTGGAGTGTTTTCGTCACCAGTTAACTCTGTTTGACAACCTCTCTGACAACTTGCTTGTGTTTCCAATCTATTCTGATTTACCAGGCGGTTTTTAATCATTTTCCGAGCCACACATTCAGCACTAATTTCAGTCTGTGTGTTTGTGGCCATTACTCTTTGTGAGTTTCAATAAACTGTAGCATTTTGAGGACATTTCAAAAAAGACCTCAAATTGTGGTGAATCAATAATAACAAGTTGAGTACTCTGTTATAATCGTAGAGTGTGCATCTGTTACTCTGCACTATCTTCTCCCGAGACTAAAGAGTTACTGCTTTTAAATGCTGTGTGTGCATGTGTGAAACCGAACCAAAATAATGTATGTTGCATTCAATAGCCACACATTGCCCATAGCTCAGCTACAGCACACAAGCTAAGAAACAAACAAGAATCTAAAATGTTAATATTACTCAAAATTCCACCAGAAATATGTGATGCTCATACAGAAACTGTTTGCAGGATTAGCAAAACTATATCCATGAATTACAAACAATAAGAGTCTGTCAATTAAATAAACAAACAAACACAATGGGGCTGTTACGTTTCCCTGATAATGAAAACATATTCCTAATGATTCCAGAATTATAATAATATGCAGTGACAATTTACCTGGCAAATAAACAACTTTTATCTGTACACACCATTCTGTGTATAAAGATGGATGACACACCTGGGCCCTTCCGATTCACATGCTTGACCAATCATGAGTCAGTCTCAACTTTCAGTCATGACGTTTTCTCCTCTGGCTTCATGTTGCCTTGTTGTCCATATTTGTATAGTCCTCTACCTTCAACCATGTCATGTATACACTGAAACCTTTTTTCTCTCATCAACTTTTAACTCCACTCAGCCAAGTGTGCAGCAAGTCACCAAACCGTCTCACCTTCAGAACTGCTCATCCCCTTGACCCTCCACCGTTGAGAGTAAACAATAGATTGTCAATTTGCCAAATGCACTTACTTTCTGTTTACTGAGAGTTACAGAACATTACTAACACTCATGTCAGTCTGTCTGCCAGAGGTTGCTCTAACGTAGCCTAGCATATATTGCTCAAAGACTGGAACTGTGACAAGTCACTGAGGAGGACACTACGCTCAGCCAAGCAATAAATTGTCCAATACAGAACCTACTATAAAAAATTAAATAGCTGTTTTTACATCTAAAGTCACTTTGCACTTTTTTGTTAATAATGTCTATACCTATATGCTGTATTTACTGCACATATATGAGGGTGGCATTGATCATTTTATATTTCACTCAGCAAGACAGCAAATAGGCATATTTCCCAAAATTTCAAACTATGGCCTTTAAGATGCCGTCGCCCTTGTTCAGAACATGTATTACAGAACTGAGCTGGTAGAACAGCTGTTTCTCAGTCATCACAACAACCCTGCCCTCTGATATGACACTGACACCAGCCGCTTTGGTCGGAAGTGAAGTGCTTCATCTGGCCAGGATAATGTAGCTGTGTTATTCAACTTGTGTATGTAAGCGTAGCGTAGGTCATCGTGGATTACTCGCCTGCTGGAGACTCTTGCATTTCATCTTGAGTTCTGTCTCCCTCCAGTCTGCTCCTGACTTCATATCACACGACACATATTGGCCATTTCCTCTCTACATCAACGATGTGTGTAAGATTACTGATGGTCACTCCAGCTGTTTGTTCCCATGGCAGAGACCAGAGTGTGTCCTTGTTTAAGCTAAGCCTCTCCTACTGGGCTTTGTTGATACCATCAAACAAGCGTGTGCGGGGTCGGGGGGCTCTTTGGTTCAGCTCTGGGTTTTGCCACAGCAAAGAGAAAACTATCACTGCTGGAGAGTTTTCAGCAGCACTTTGGGCGATGTCTGTATTTTCTACCAGGATATCAGTTGTCAATGGTCTGTATAAAAGTTTCCAAACTCTTGTTGGACTGAAATGGTCATTTCTTCAGAAAGATTATGAATGTAGCCACAGCTGGAAGTCATTTTGTTTCCTCTCTCTAAACCAATACAGAGCCTTGTCAACATTACTCATTAACTGGTACAAAAGTTGTCTAAATGCTAAAGGAAATGTCACTGATATTTTCCTTGAACAGAACATGCCACAGGCAAAGAATGGAAGGATTCTTCTGATGCGGAGTCAGGAGTGTGTCTCAAATTGAGACAAAAGAAAAAAAACCTTTCTGAGCCCTTTTGGTGATTTAACAAAAAAAAAGAAATGGAAAGAAAATACTGCTTTATCCTGGGAGCAGGTGAGACCTGCAGTAAACTTGACCATTTCAGAGATGACTGTTACTGTAGGTCATTAAATCGGGACCAACAAATACTGATGATAAGGTTTTAGTGACAGAAGTAATCTGCCATGATTTTAATGGATATGCTTTCAACATAATAGATGTATTGAGTTGAGTGAATTGAAATTTCAGGAGGATTTATGCAGCTGCTGGGTTGTGAAATGCCAGAGCTGTCCTCAAGCTTTTGTTGAAATATGGCTGTGGCCAAGTAGATGGTTTAACTGCACTGTGTACTGGATCACATTAGGGTAGCATTAGTGCTTTAATAAAACACGCCCTGGAAAACAAAGTCCACAGAGAAGCCTCCTTTCAGTGTCAGTTAGTGTGTATGTCATGTAAAGATATGCTCGCTGCTCAGTGTAGCATGCTGAAAACTGTTATCACAGCCATTAATGTAACCTGGGGATATTGGAATCACCACTTTAATTACTCCTCTGCACCAGTGACATGGTAGAAAAAAAACGTATGTCTGCCAGATGTGAAAGGGTCAAGATGAGTAATCTGACCTGATTTACAACCCTGCTCAATGCCTTGTAACTTCCCTGGATGAGGTCCATTCGTTAATCTTTATGAAAAGGTAATTTACATCTACATTTGTTTCAAAGTTCTCCCCTGAAACACCTGTAGTTTTTAGCAGATGTTATTTCCTGGAATACAAACTGGAAGTCAATTAAAAGCTGGTTGTCCGAGGGGCGTAGACAACATGAACAAATACAGGCAGGGGGCAAACTCTTGGTGCCTGTTATATCATGTGCATGTCAGTTAAGCATAATGCACATTTCTACTGCGTCTGTCCTATTTCGGTCAGTGTGTGTTAATGTCTCAGCCAACTTTAGTTTGTAGTAATGTAAAACTTACAATGTTACACAATAAAAGCCCTGTTACTTAAACAAACTTTAAAGTATGAGCAGTGATATTGATATAAGGAATAACTAATAAAGGCCCGTTATCTTGTATTTTCTCATGTTACTGAAAATCTGTTCTCGTTTATGAATTACATTTAAACACAGCACTTTGAGCTACTTTTCCTGTATACAAGGTGTTATACAAATAAAGTTTATATTTATTATTAATAATTATATTATTGTTGTTCATTGTTGGTTTTGGCCTTTTGACAGGATTGTTTGCCTCTTTAAAAAATAAAGAACATCACTGAGATGCTGCTTTAATTACTGGGAAGTTGTTTTGTTGACTCTACAGGATTTGAAGAGAAACTCAGGTTTAGATAAGAAAACTTGGATTGTTTAATATAAAGTGGCCAAGCCATGATAGTGCATATTTGAGATAGTGACTGAAAAAGAACCTTCTGCTCACATCATCTCTACAGGAAGTAAAATAAACAGGTTTTCTCCTGGTTTTCTACGCATTCAACATAAACATCTCTAATATTCTTTAAATTTGGTCAAAATTCGCTGTAAATTTGACTGTAACTTGACTGTTAAGGTTTTATTACAGGGCTAATTTAATCTAAATCTGTTTTCACAAATATGAATATTTATCCATAAGGCCCTTTTCGACCAAAGTACAAACAAAATGCTATATACATACAACATAACAACCCATAATACTAAAATATGTGATGGGTCTTTAAATAGCTACTTTTCTCCTTGTGTTGTGATTACAACAGAAGTGAACTGGGTCTCGTTGCTGCATAGAGAAACAGAAGTCTGTAAATATTCTACCTATTCAGAGTTGGATAATAAGGTTAAATCAATTTTAAACCCATATACTGGCAGTTCTTTCAAACATTCTCACAACTAAACTACAGTGATTGCCTTTATTTCACTTGCTTTTGTATTGGCATAAGGAGGTGCTGCTAACAAGTGCAAAAAAGAGCTTGTTTTGAATCACTGCCTCTTCATCTCACACTCCTTCATGTTTATTTCTCAGATCAGTGCCACTGACTGGGGACAAGCTGAAACAACGTATAACCTCTATGAGGTTCTTTTCAAGGTTCACAAGGTACGTTAAGGGCGGGGTGCTGTGATGTGCACAAGGGCTGTTCAAAATTTGATCGCTGCAGTTCTCATCTCAGGCTGATCTCCCTCTTTCTTTAGCAGCTAGAATAGTGTGTCAGGGCGCCCACATATAACAGGCCTTTTAAGTTTTTTGTTAAAACTAAGAACTAAATCACTGACTTTTCATTAAAGAAATATTAAACAAGTGATCAGACAGCAGGAACTTTTCTGGAATGCATGTAATAATGACGCTTCTGTGTTGCAGCTGTGGATGGCGGAAGACTGCTGGCTCCAGGCGAGGCTCTACTTGGGGCTGGAGCATTCACCTGAGCAGCAGGAAAACGAGTGTCTGTGCTTCAGCATTCTGGTCGGCCACGGCCAGAGCCACACCTTCAGGGTCGAGCTGGCCACCGACCTGGCTATCTGGGAGAAGTCCTTCCAAAGAGCTGTCTTCTTGGAAGTGCAGCGAATACGAGTGAGTGTTTCTACAACGCCGTGTAACGCCCGGGGCAACGTTTTCTGTTGGATTAAAGGGTTCTGGAAGCTCTCGCAGCCCCTTTTCCCAACCTCAAAGTGGCAGCGTGAAGCATTTGATGTTAAAGTAAGACCGCAGCACTTTGTGTGCTTTAGAGCCAGAAGCCAGATAAACACTGTCCTCAGCTTCAGATGACAGCTAATACGTATTCTAAATAGAATACAAAGTCGCAAAGTGGAACATTAACAGCCTTGTATGCCAGAGTCCTTGTACAGAACTGCATTTGATTAAACTATAAGTGTTCCTATTGTGCTCCATCCTGCACAAAGCCATGTAATTAACAACATAACAACACAGTCATTACACAGTCATGTAAGCATCAACATTAACAAAACATAAATACATTAACCCTATTGAATAATCTTCATAACATGAATACAGTGTATAATTACATGCATTAGATACACAGAGACACCTCGAGAAAATATGCAGTCACATAATTGTCAGAATTAAAAGCAACACAGCTGAAGATTCCTGTTCCACTTGTAGTTGACATATGAGAGTGTGTTCTAGTTTCGGTCAATATACCCTGACTCCTTCCTGTTGCACATCCAGTGAAATAGTCACGTGTCAACAAACTGTGATCCTGCAGAGGAGCCGGTTGCTTAGTTCAGTCTGAAGCGTTGTCCAAACATTCTGCACAGTAATCAAGATTTAATCAAAACCAAGAACTAAATCGATTATCAATCTCTAGCTTCTGTCAAATGTTTTGACCCCCATTTATTACAGCAAGACAATTTCCCATGTCAGTACGGATCATGACTGATGATTGAATGATGAGTCGAGTCTCGCTGCAGCTCTATCAGTGTTATAAAGACTTTGAAGATATATCCTGTGTATTGGTCACTTTGGTTTTTAATCACCTCCTTTCCTAACACTAATTTAATGCTTCAACAGTGAGCAGTGATTGTACTCGATGAGACGTGTTTTCTGTTGACACATTATGGTTTCTGGGCTGTTTGAAGTTTTTCCTTGTTAAGAAATTAATTGAATTTAAAATTGAAACATGGGCACTACTCTGTTTTCCATAAATGTTTTTGTTACTTTAGAGGCATTTAGCACCAGTAACCTGAAGAAGGAGTCCTCACCTCAATGAGCCAATAAATTGCCTCTTAAGCAAAAATGTGTTGAGTGTAAAGGCGATCAGCTCCTGAGGAGAGTGCGTTGTTAAGCACTTCTCAGTAGCAGCTGTCTTGTGTCTGCCAAGAGGCTTATACATGAACATGAGCTGGAAAATGTCCACGCAGAGGACGAGTCCAGGCCTTACTTTTCTAGTTTAACTTCTTGTGTTCAATTTGTGTTTACATTTTTTATTGCTTACCTCACAGTCCATTTACTGTCCAGTTCACACAGGGGTGGTGGATCCACTTTTCCTCGCTGTTCAATACGCCTGCATCCATATAATGATTGCTTGATACCTGTGTGCAATGCTTTATCATTTCTTCTTTTTACCATCAGGCATTAGATTGCTCTAATACTCTGATGCAACTGACTGGGAAACCTGGGAAAAACCTCCTGCCAATAGTAACAATAGTACAATATGTGATTTAGTTTTCTCTCCGTTGTGACTCACCAGGCATTATTAATTGAGGAGGTATGTTAAGTGTGAATACAGCATGGAATACAGCAAAGTTGAGGGGCCGAGATATTAAATATTAAGTCACAGGGATATAATATATAATATAGTGCTTTAAATGGGCAAGAAATATCGGCTGAAGTTTGTTGGTGCTGGTTTTATAAAGACTAGGAACAATTTAGATGTATTTCAGTGATTCACAAACACTGAAGGTCTCCAACTTGAACAGGTAGATGCTGAAACCTCGTGCAGGGGCATCAGGTGGGGACCACTATTCACAGATGTTTTGCCCCTTATCCCGGAACATCTCCTGGTGGCAGAGCAGTGAACAGGGCCGTCTCCCTGACACAGCAAAGCTAAACTTGCTCAGGAGCTGCTGCTCTCCCAAATCTTCTTAGCTATAGCCAGAAGCTGGTCTTCTCTGCTTCTTCTGAGAAGTCACGAGTGGCTTTGTATAGCTCCTTGCCCCGTAGCCCTAGATCTCGGAGCAGGTGTAATGTTGAGCCTTTTGCACTAATCCCCACTGGACAGTTTGTGTTCCATCAGCCCTCTCCGCTCTCTGCAACCAGGTCTGAATATTCTATTATTCAGTAGTCTGGTTACAATGTGATGCTGCAGATCACTCTTGGAAAATGGAGCTGCCTGAACAGGTAAACCTCCAATCTCCCCTCCCTCCGAGACAAGTGGATTGTGGGTGTAGTCCCTGTGGACTTCCTTTGTCTATGAAAATGGATCCACCGAATCCTCTGCATAGAAGATTCTGAATAGCTCTCCTGTTTTTCCGTTAATTTTTTACCCGAACAGCGCAGAAAAAACTCAATATAAACGTTCCAGGTTGTGACTGAAGACAGGGCAACAGAAGCATCTTCAACAAAAAACCAAGTCTGGATAACAGACCAACACACACACATCTGTTTGACGAGGCCTTCAACAATACTGCTTCATTCTCTCCCTATTTCCTCTCCATCCAACCAATCTTAGTAAACTGAGACAAGGATGAACAGAGCTGGGAGAAGCACAGAGCACATATGCTTCTTTACTTAAAGCTCTACTCTAATCATTCATGGGTCTTATGTTTCAGTTCTATGTTGGGTTTCTCAATGAGTTTTATAAGCCTCCCCATACTCTTAATTACACATTATATTCAAGAATTAAGAAAGTATGCCACATGTCAGGTCAGAGTTTTCATGAAATAGCCAGCGGTGCCTTTAATAATTTTACTACATTCCCACCCTTTCACCCCTCGAACACAGCCTACCAACCATAACGGCTGAAAATGCGGTGAAGCCAGAGGGCTTTGGCGCTCAGGACCCTTAAGTTGGAACATTTATTAATAGAACAATGCAGAGCACCTGTCACAAGATATTTGAATCACGAGAAAAGTGAAATACTTTCCAGGTCAGCATGGGAACCACAATTGAATGGCATCCTGTTTCACCAGTTGTCTTAATTTCACTGGACACAGTTACATTCTCTGTTGATTCTGCATGTTCTAATTCCCAAAGATTAAACATGTAGGGGATCTGTGTGTTAATAACATGACATGTTAATTAGTGCACAAGTGCAACTGATCATCTAGATTAATTTAATGTTATGGAAAATCCATTCCCTGGTGTGCTTTTGTTGATAAATCTCTGTCCTAGCAATTAAACATTTGATTGGACCCTCAACATCCCATGATGCATTTGTTATTGATGGGACTGGTACCCCGTAGGGTTTTTTTTTCTCCCATCAAGGAACATAATTTGAAACCCATACTAAACGATTTAACACATACAGTATACCACAATAACCTTTTCAATGTGATAGCTAGAACGGCTTTTCTTTGGTGAAGCATCTGATGTCAGGTGGTAGTGATGAAGAGGATGATGATGATGCTACTGCTGATTTTATCTAGAGGCAGACATGGTTTACAAAGACAGTAATTCCTCCTTAATGTCAAACTCAGTAGTGATCCCACACTCAGAAATGTCTAATGGGTTTTTGTTATGTCTGTTTGTGTCATAAAAGCTGTGGCTCAGGAGACTGATGGGTCGTCCGCTAACCAGATCGTTGGTGGTTAGATCCCCAGCTCCTCTAGTCCGCATTTCAAAGATTTCTTGGCGTGATACAAAACAAAAATTGCTCTTGAGAGCGAAGCCAACAGTGTATGAATGATGTGTGATAGAAACGTTGGAGCATATACAAGTGCTGTATGAATGTGTATTAATGGATCGATGAAACTAGTACATTTAGGCTCTTTGAGTGGTCAATAACACTGGAAAAGTTCCTTATAAAATACAGTCCATTTACCATAGCAGGTCAGGCTGCAAAACAGAAAATCTCTTGCTGTGTTTGTCAGTGGTTTTTCAATATCTCCTACGAAATCAGTATCCTTTCTGTGACATCTCTTCGAGGCAAACACTTGTAATTGTACTTGATCTATGTGCAGCTCCACAGTAGCAACAAGCTGAATGCTGAAACCTTCCACTTCTCTTTTCATGTGCTGAGTTTGATCTGAGTGATGAACAGAGTTTGACTTTATCAAAGTTTCCATAAAATAATAGTTGTCAGAGAATATCTTCTTCTTTAGGTCTTTAGGTCTTGATGTAGTATTATCTCAGACAGTGTAGGTAAAGGATACTCAATGGTTATAGATGGAGTTTCTGGTGTTATAATGGATGATAAACTCATTTGTAAACCACCTATGGAATATACAAAGAGGAAAGTAAGAGAAGCTATTTCAGTTTTGCGCACAGCAAACATTGTTCTAGTTGTTGTGGTGTGGGGCAACACATTTAAAACTAATATTAAACAGATGTATGTATTACTGAAAAGAGCAATCATTTTTATGAATAAGGTCAAAGCAAGAGAACAAACTCTTTGTCACGTGTTGAAACTTAAAGATTTTGTTTTATAAAAAACTAAAATATTATTGGTTATATGTAAATCCAGAAATGGATGTTTAAATTATTATATGAAATGGTGAGGATCATACAGGGAAATATAATTTCACTACATTAGAGCAGATGTTGTCTCTGTTTATGGAGGGAAACATTAATTATTTGAACAATTATTTAAAATGTTGCTCAAAATTATTCAATATAATACAAATGTATAAAGAAAAATATAAAATAAATATATAAATAAATAGAAAATAGAAACTTTATGAAAGTATTGTGTAATATTTATGTTACTGTGATGTCTATTGATAAATGAATAACTGATTTGTAAAAAGAAAGGAAATCAAAAATGGATTGCCCTCTGTATTTGTATAATGTTATTATATATAAAAGGCACAGGTATAATAAAAATGTTCTTCCTGCTCCTTTTTAGTTCATGGTATGTGGAGAAGTGTTGTTTTATTTTGTAAAATAGTTTCTGG